CAATGGCTCGATTTCAGCTCACTGTAATCTCCACCTCCCAGGTTCAAGTGATTCTCCATCCTCAGCTTTCCAAGTAGCTGAGACTATAGGTGCCTGGCACCACGTCTACCTAATTTTATATTCTTACTAGAGAAGGGGTTTCTCCATGTTGGTCAGGCTGGTCTCTAATTCCCAACCTTAGGTGATCCACCTGCCTCTGAAAGTGCTGGGATTACAGGCATGAGCCACTGCGCCCTGTTGGGTACCAGCCGCAGACCCGGACGTGGGTGCCCTTAGTCCCAGCAGTAACGAGGGATTAAGAAAAGGAAATAAAGACAGAGACACAAGAGTAGAAGTTACAGCATGGATCCAGGGGACCAATGCAAGCATGGGAACCAGGTTGGCTCAGAGCTCTGGGCTCCAAACACTTTTATTATGTGCTTAATCTCATTGATCTTACGGGTGTGGAAGGGGAGAGTGAAGGGGTAGGAAATAAAGCTGGAGGGAGAGCACTTGAGATCCTTCTGAGACATGCTAAACTAGTACTCTGAGTTTATCACTGATTGTCATCAGGGTGCTGCTGTATCAGAAGTATTGCAGATGAGGAGCTACCGGGTCTGACCACACCCAATGCATCCAGGGGCTTTTATCTCCCAAGCATTGAGGACATAGAGCAATTAAATTAACTCCATTTTTCAAGAACCAAGGCAGAGCCTGAGGCATTCTGTGATGATCTCTGCCCTGCAAGGCTTTTCTTCTTGCCAGTTCCCATCTGCAAAGACCCTCCTGATTCAGTGAGCAGAGGTTGCCTCCCTTCTGAGAGAGCTTTGCATAAGCCCTCTTTACGAGGCCCTCATGCAGTCTCCCTGTTGAGAAGGCATTCGTGGTGCCAGAGCAGTATAGCCTGGTCTGCAGCCACCCCTCGGGGTTCCCCGGTGTTACTGTTACTGCGCTCTCACATGGTATTTACCTTAGGCCTCCTGATGCCGCTTGATTTCTAATTAACGGCACCCACAATATAGTTTAGTTTGGTGTATAAACTTCAGTGTACTCTGAGCCAAGAAAGCTTATAATGATCTAGCTATAATTAACATAGGTCTCCCCCTGGCCATCTTGACCCACAGTGCCCAGCTAAAACTTTTTCATAGGTACATACAGTGGACTGCTCCATGGGCAGGTACCACAATTGTAAAGTGGGCAAGTTTGTTCTTTTGGCACCCAAAATCTCAGCATTCTGGACCCTTTCCTTCCACGTTACCTGACTTCAACCCCACACCTACGTGTGAGAGTGCTCTCTGCTCTCATCGCACCATCAAAAGCAGTTATCAGCTTTGTGCAGTGGCAGTATCGTAGCCAATGAGGTTTATCCGAGGCGTGATTATCGCTAATTGAAAACTTTCCCCAAAACCCCGCCATGACGACTTGAAATATAGTCAGTGTTGGCAATTTTTGGCAGTCTCTACGGGAACTGAATAAAAAAAAAAAAAAAAGCAAAAGCAGTTATCAAGACAGGCACTGGTCTAAATGGAACGTTGAGGAGCGTCTGATAATCCCACCCTCCTGTGCCCATGTAGTTGCTTAGCCTAAAAGGTTACTGGAAATCTGCACACTAAATGTCTCAGGAATTCTATCAGCCACAAGATGGGAAAGGGGCAGAGAGTCTTTCCAATATGCCACCTTCCCTGACCTACCTAATAGGAGCACTAAGGAAAGTTGATGATACTGGATTTCTGAGGGTGCTGTGAATTTTTTAAAGCAACTTATTTGCTGTTGCTTTTACTTCTCTGCTTTGTGTATCTGGTCTGAATATGTTTTTCGCACGCTTTGGACTCAAACAAGTTTTTAACTCTGTTCAATTATCAAAATGTATGGAACACTACAAATTGCCCAGCATTGTGTAGAGCTGGGGAAGCCATTTCTACATCAATTGGTTCAATCAGACAATGGTTGCACATGCTAAATGTTAGAATATTCTTTTTTTTTTTTTTTTTTTTTAAGATGGGGGTCTTGCTCTTGTTGCCCAGGCTGGAGTACAATGCTGTGATTTTGGCTCACTGCAACCTCCACCTCCTGGGTTCAAGTGATTCTGCTACCTCTGCCTCCCGAGTAGCTGGGATTACAGGTGCCCACCCAGCTAATTTTTGTATTTTTAGTAGAGATGGGGTTTCACCATGTTGGCCAGGCAGGTCTCAAACTCCTGACCTCAGCTGATCCACCTGCCTCAGCCTCCCAAAGTGCTGAGATTATAGGCATGAGCCACCATACTCAGCCTAGAATATTCTTTCAAAATGGAATTTTTGATCTTCTGTTAGAGCTTTCTTTTTTCTTTTTGAACATAAGATATTTTCTAAACTTCTGTTAAAGAGCTTTCAAATATGCTATAGACCAGACATTCCAAATTTTATTAATTTACAGTTAGATTGTGTAATCATATTTTACATTTATTAAGCTTTTTGATGCACCATAATTTCCACAGTATCTCTCTGTAAAACATACATACATATATAAGCATATATATGTGTGTTTATATATATGATTTTTTAAAACAAAAAACATTGAGAAAACGGGTAGGCATGATGGCTCATGCCTGTAATCCCAGCAGTTTGGGAGGCCAAGGCAGGAGGATCACTTGAGGCCAGGAACTCAATACCAGCCTAGGTGAGACTAGGTCTCTTAAAAAAAAAACCAAACCAAACCCATGCACAACAGAAAGCTCCAGATCATAACTCTAGGACAAAGTTTAAATTAAAATAAAGACATACGGACACATAAATTAGCAAAAAAGTTGAAGTAGTTTCTTTTGTTGTAATCCCCTTCTTGGTGATACTCAGTTGGAGTGTAGTGGCTGAGTGCAGTGGCTCACACCTGTAATCCCAGCATTTTGGGAGGCCAAAGCAGGTGGATCACTTGAGGCCAGGAGTTTGAGACCAGCCTGGCCAACATGGTAAAACCCCATCTCTACTAAAGATGCAAAAATTAGTTGGGTGTGGTAGTGCATGACTGTAATCCCAGCTACGTGGGAGGCTGAGGTAAGAGAATTCCTTGAACTGGGAGGGAGAGCTTGCAGTGAGCCAAGATAGTGCCACTATACTCCAGTCTGGCTGACAGAGTGAGACACTGGCTCAAAAAAAAAAAAAAAAAAAAAAAAAAAAATTTAGTATAGTTATCACAATCCAGATAAAGTTATATAGTATTAGAGGATGTCAAAGTTCTTGAAGCATTGTTAACATTTGCTCTTTAAAACAGAGACTGTTAAATTGTCTTTACATCAAATGAAATGAGATAAACGTTATTAAGTGTTCGTGTTCATCAGCTGTATTTATAGCTCACTATAAGCCTGCTCATTAACATTTTTCTTTAAGGACTGAATTTACGTATACCATTTACCCAGGGCATGGTTCTTCTGTCATCTGTTTGTCTAAACTGGACTTAGAGCGAACCCATCCATTTTCCACCTCAAGGTGGAACAGGAAGATAAGGCAGATCTGAGGTCTCCTCCATGTGGAGTTGGAAACTCTTCTCTCTAAAACACACTAAAAGCTGAAAGCTATTTTCTTCAGTGTGAGGCAAGTTAGGTCACCTACATTTTCATTGTAATGAGGTAGGGCTTTTTGCTTACATTTGGAGAGCTGCTTTGGAAAGTGTAATTAAAAACTTTTATCAGCATATTTTTGTTCCCTGTAAACTTTGTCTATCAAAGAAAATTAAGAACATGAAGTTACATTAAAAACCTTAATTTGTGCCAAAAACTTAATATTAATTTTCTTTTTTTGAGACAGAGTTTCACTGTGTTGCCCAGGTCAGAGTGCAATGATGTGATCTCAGCTCCCTGAAACCTCTGCCTCCCTAGTTCAAGTGATTCTCGTGCCTCAGCCACCTGAGTAGCTGGGATTCTAGGCATGTACCACTATGCCTATAAAAACTCTACTATAGGCATAGGGTTTTATGCCTATAAAAACCCTACTATAGTAGAGGTAGGGTTTTTAGTAGAGATAGGGTTTTACCATGTTGGCCAGGCTGGATTCAAACTCTTGGCCTCAAGGGATCCACCTACCTTGGCCTCTCAAAGTGCTGGGATTACCCAGCCACCGTGCCTGGCTTTATTAATTTTTTGGTTCAATAATAAAAGTTAAAACAATGTCTTGTTATTTACTGCAAATTTTTTAAAAAGGTAATTTAGCAACTGATCTAATTTAGCTGTCTATCAAGAAAACAAGAACAATCCTAGACACCAAACTCATTGTTGTTTATTTTTTGAGATGGAGTCTCACTTTGTTCCCAGGCTGGAGTGCAGTGAGGTGATCTCAGCTCACTGCAACCTCTGCCTACCGGGTTCAAGCGATTCTCCTGCCTCAGCCTCCCAAGTAGCTGGGAGTACAGGTGCAAGCCACCACACCTGGCTAATATTTCTATTTTTAGTAGGGTTTCACCGTGTTGACCAGGATGGTCTCAATCCCTTGACCTCGTGATCCACCCGCCTCACCCTCCCAAAGTGCTGGGATTATAGGCTTGAGCCACTGCCCCTGGCTCCAAATTCACTGTTTCAAAAGTAATCTGAGGCCGGGTGCGGTGGCTCAAACCTGTAATCCCAGCACTTTGAGAGGCCGAGGGCGGATCACAAGATCAAGAGATCGAGACCATCCTGGTCAACATGGTGAAACCCCGTCTCTACTAAAAATACAAAAATTAGCTGGACATGGTGGCACGTGCCTGTAATCCCAGCTACTCAGGAGGCTGAGGCAGGAGAATTGCCTGAACCCAGGAGGTGGAGGTTGCGGTGAGCCGAGATTGCGTCATTGCACTCCAGCCTGGGTAACAAGAGTGAAATTCCGTCTCAAAAAAAAAAAAAAAAGTAATCCAAAGATGTAGAAAATGGTCCATCCTGGGCCACTGAAACATAGTTATATTATTGTGATCCTGAACCATTTTCTGCATGGTTCACAAGAAAAAGTTATTATAGCTACATGTAGTTTGGAAACATCTTGATATTCTAGAATAAACACATCAACTCACATGACAAATTACTTTGTACTTTACAAACTTTATTAAATAATGGGCATTACTAATTTCATTATCTTATATACAGTATTTAAACTATGTTTTCCTAGATGCATTTTTCCCCCCACAAAGAATAGAGCAGATGAAAAGTAAACTTATATAAAAAAAATTGAACCTTCAGTAAAGGAAACTAATAAGAACTTGACATACTTTAAAGTACATATAACATTTCCCCGTTATGTACATCCCCACCCCACCTCTAAAAGAAACTATTTTAAACAAAAGCAATTGATAACTTTGAGGAAAAAAGTACAAACATGATTTTATATATATATATACACACAGCTCTCAAAATCTGGGTCCTGGCCAACAGAAATAATCTATAAAACTACAGATTTGTCCTAAAACCTAAAGCCATGTAGATATTTTCCACAGTAAGATACCCACTGACATGCAGTGAGGTGTATTCGTATAGGTGACATCAAAGTCGTGCAATAAGACACTGGTGTGAAGAAGTAATTCTGAGTCAGACAGAACGATAATATGAACGATATAGAACTGAATAATATCAACCGAAAAAGCAAAAATGCAAAACAGCTTTCCTGGGACAAGAGTCAGGTAATTTTGTTCATAGGTAATACGAATGCACTTCCACACACCTCTAAAAACATGCTTTCTTGGCCGGGCACAATGGCTCATGCCTATCATCCCAACACTTTGGGAGGCTGAGGCAGGCGGATCGCCTGAGGTCGGAGTTCGAGACCAGCCTGGGAACATGGTGAAACCCTGTCTCTACTACTAACACAAAAATTAGCCAGGTGTAGTGACCGGTAGTGGCAGTAATTCCAGCTACTCAGGAGGCTGAGGCAGGAGAATCGCTGAAATTTGGGAGGTGGAGGTTGCAGCGAGCCAAGATCACACCACTGCAACAGAGTGAGACTCGGTCTCAAAACACAAAACAAAACAAACTTTCTTGTACTTTTTAAAAAAACTGTTTCATCTTGAAAACTCATATTATGTTTATTTTTATTTTTTATCTTTTCCAGATGTGGCTTCATTGATCATATTTTTTAAATAAAGACAATAAAAGAAGGAATGTTTCCAGACCAGCTACTCAATGTGGACTTTGTTTCATAAGCTTTTTTTTTTTTTTTTCTAAGATGGGGTTTCACCATGATGGCAGGCTGGTCTTGAACTCCTGACCTCAGGTGATCCACCCACCTCGGCCTTCCAAAGTGCTAGGATTACAGGCGTGAGCCACCGCGCCCGGCTTGTTTCATAAGCTTTAAGAATACTTTGGAGAAGCAAGAAACTTGGGTTATTTTTTGTTATTTAAAAAGAAAATCAAATGCCTTAGATACCTATTTGTAAGATAAAAATGCTCATATATTATGTCTGACAGATAAGATAAGAGGCATAGGACTTACAAAGAGGAAAACAATTATGTCACTTACTCAATATTACTACTTACCTTTAAATGAAAAGTCCAGGCCCCTACATATATTATTGTATTTTTTTTTTTAAAGACAGGGTTTCACCATGTTGGTCAGGCTGGTCTTGAACTCCCAACCTCAGGTGATCTGCCCACCTTGGCCTCCAAAGTGCTTGGATTACAGGCGTGAGCCACTACGCCTGGCCATATTATTGTATCTTTTAAAATAGAAACTAAGAGTGTGGGGGAAAGGCCATAGAATGTACACCTGATTAAAATGAAAATACTAAGACCACCCCTTGAGAAAACATTCTTGCTGCATTAACTGCAGTCTTCAGTAAAATAGAATATTTTTATAAAGTCGCAATAAATCTGCCTTCATTTTTCTCTTTAGCTTCTTTGACTTTTTTTATTCACAATGCCTTATTTTTATTTTTCTGTAGCCTTTCATAAGGAGTTAGATTAGTATACAGTGTCACAACTAAATGTGACAAATGGTCACAACATAAAAGGTGTTATTAGCACCTACTAACCAAGTATTTCATTCTTTTATATACCTGAAGACAATGAAAACAGGCTCCCATATCATGTGTGGTTCAGGAAATAGATTCTTGCCCATTCCTGCAGCCAACGACTCCTCAGGGCCAGGATCCAGCAGGTCATTTGGCAGAATCTCAAACTCATGACATGCCTGTGAAAAACTGCTCTGGAAAGGGTAAGTTTAAAGCGCTTTGCTTATTTTAGCTCATGCTTAACTTTGTATTGATTAGAAACAGGCAAACAAAATGATCTGGCGGGATTTCAGTTTTGTTTTTTCTCTTTCAACTGTCATTTGAAGAGGTAATCAAGTGGTTCCAGGAAGTCATGCCATCTGTTTTAACAGCTAAGTCAATTTGCATTTTATTAACCTTGGTTTTCTCTAAGCCATTAAGGAAATCATTCATTTCACCCCAGAAATTATTTTATAAACACGATGAGTAGCTCATTCTCTAGGCCTTGTCCGGGAATACAGGTTAGAGGTTTTGCATACAGACAATGGGTCCTGCTATGTTTTAATTTTCAACAGTCACACAATTTCTGCATCAAAATGAAATGATAAAAGAATATAAAAATAAAATTAAAAAAAAAGAAGAATACTAGCATAGAAACCCTAAAATGGGCACCTCGGGCTACACTCCAATTACATATCTCTGGCTTAAGTTATCCTAAGGTCTTGCTGCAAATATAACCAAAATGTGAGATATAAGCATAATTCTTTAAACAGCTTTCGCTGCCTTTTAAAACATGAAAAAGTCTCCTTGCTGCCTTTGAGTCATAGGATAAAACTACCCTGGCCTTCTGGATAATAGGAAAGGATTATTGGATTATTGCTTTTTTTTTTTGAGATGGGGTTTCACCGTGTTGCCCAGGCTGGTCTCGAACTGCTGAGCTCAGGCACTCCACCTGCCTCGGTCTCCCAAAGTGCTGGGATTATAGGCGTGAGCCACTGCGCCCGGCTGTTGCATTTCTTAAGATGTGAGCGCTATTGGCAGGATATGCAAAAAAATATGGCCATGATGTTAAAAGTCTAAAAAATGTTCAACTAAGACTGACTTACATGAAACATGAAGACATTCAGCATCAGAAAATACATTGTTGATGCCAACACGTGCTACAGTACAATCCTGGCTGCATCGTCAGCCATTTCAAAACATTGTGCTGTAAAAGAAAGTATATTTTACACCTCTGGTTCTTACAAAACCGTTTTAATCTGGTACACATAAAACACCTCATCAGTATCTGTAATATTTTATGAGCAAAATAAGAAAATTCAGGCAGTTATCATGAAGAACCTTAAGCAAAACTGCTCGAACTGAGACACTGAAATTTTTCCCTTAGAGACTGGACAATATTTTGTTGATTGGGAGATGGCCCCCTCCAAAGATAGTCATTCAGTTTGTCAGAATCATTATATGGTGTCAGAAATGGTGAAAGCCCAAGTTTGCTGTTAACCTGCTTTTTGGGAGTGCATGGACTATTCAAAGAATGAGATGTGTTGCTGCTGCAGGCATTACCAGAAAAGCCAGCATCCACGTACTTTGAGTCAGATTTCCTTCTACGACTGTGAGCAAGCTCCAGCTCTGACTCATCTTCTTCTGACTTGATTTCCACATAGTCATCTTCATCTCCATCAGGCTCTTTGAAATTGGAAAAATAATTTTGTGTTGCTATTTGGGCATTTAAGGGTACATTTCTATTGACCACCAAAACTTTCTGTGAGTCTTGGAGTGTGAGATCTGAGAGTTTTTCAGGGCCCTGCTGACGTGAGTCAGCAATATCCGCCAGCAAGTCCTGGTGACTCTCACACCGTGAACTTCTGTGTAAAGACAGCAGCTGCTGCTTTCCCACTTCACTAGGGTAGTTGATGGAGTCCATTGATTTGTTTATCAAGACGGAGGAAGATGACTGGGACCTGTGATAAGGCTGAGATTTAGCGCTGATCCCTTTCCGACCCAAGGAGTTGTACAGATGGCCCTGACACGCGTTCTCTTTGTTGGGCTGACTCACTACCACGCTGCATCTCTGCATGGAGTCCAGCAGAGGGTCGGAGGTTTGCAGAGAAGGCACAGAGCAAGCTGCGGACAAGTGCCTGGGAGTACTTTTTGTATTGATCTCAAACGTGGGACATCTTGATCTCAAGTCTTGCTCTGGTGGGGGACAGAAATCTGCCAGCTCTCCATTACTATAGGTTGAGTGCAGAAGCCAATCTTCACTGCCATGGTGGACCTGGGAAGGTGACACAGACCTCAGGAGGGAGGATGCTTTGGAGCTGGCCCAGCCATCCTTCTGAATTTTCAAGGGAGACTCTCTGAATACAATCTGGTCATACAGCTGAGAATACTCAGCAATCCTGGCACCTGGAAGGCAAATATTGAAACAGTAAATACACACAGGATAATTCCTATATGTGAAGATTAAAAATAAGAGTATAACATTCTACCCAACCTATTTAAACATTTTAACAGTAGACAAGACTGATGTTTAAGGATGAGTAATCACTGAAGTCTAAGCAACACAAACGAATAAAAAAAATCCATGGTTTAATATAAATAAAAATACCACCTAAAAGTTCATTTAATTTAATCGAATTCTGCATTATTGTTTCAGTAGCAGGTCTGCAAGTGTCCACTACATATAATGCAAGTTTCTAGTGTTCTTTATAAGCATGAAACAGTGTCAGTGCTGAAAACATGCATCATAAAAATAAGCAAGTCAGCACTTCAGGCTGGTCAATGAAAAATCATTCAAGCAGTCTTTAAAAACAACATAGAAGGAGTGGGTTTGGTGGCTCACGCCTGTAATCCCAGCACTATGAGAGGCCAAGACAGGTGGATCACTTGAGGTCAGGAGTTCAAGACCAGCCTGGCCAACATGGTGAAACCCCATCGCTACTAAAAATACAAAAATTTAGGCCAGGCAAGGTGGCTTATGCCTGTAATCCCAGCACTTTGGGAGGTCGAGGTGGGCAGATCACAAGGTCGGAAGTTCGAGATCAGCCTGACCAAAATGGTGAAACCTGTCTCTATTAAAAACAAACAAACAAAAAATCCAGAAAGCTTAGCCGGGTGTGGTAGCACGCATCTGCAATCCCAGCTACTGAGGAGGCTGAGGCAGGAGAAACGCTTGAACCTGGGAGGGGGAGGTTGCAGTGAGCTGAGATCCCGCCACTGCACTCCAGCCTAGGTGACAAAGCAATACTCTGTCTCCAAAAAAAAAAAAAAAAAAAAAATTAGCTGGGTGAGGTGGTGCACACCTGTAGTCCCAGCTACTGGGGAGGCTGAGGCAAGAGAATCGCTTGAATCCAGGAGGCAGAAGTTGCCGAGTGAACTGAGATTGCCCCCCCACCCCTGCACTCCAGGCTGGGAGACAGAGTGAGACTCCATTTCAAAAAACAAACAAACAAAAAAGGCAGCACTGCCACGATCCACAATGCAGTAGCTACCCCGGCTTCCCACCATTTTTCTTTGCTCTCAGACAACTGTTCCTACAGGAGTTGGCTCCTGGCTCTTCCTGCGCTTCTTGCTTCCAGGCTGCCCTCCACTGCCATTGTCTGGGGAACCAACACCTACTAAGGAAAGTCCTCCCCTCATGTGCTTCAAAAGCACTTATATTGACTAACTCACATCTCCTTTCACATCCCCAGAAGCAGAGAACTAAAGCCTATGCCGCCAAGACATTAAGAAGGAGCTGTCTGTGCATGTACTCAATAATTTAATGCTCTCTACTACTGGTTCAAGAATAGGACCTAACAGTTACTTCCACATAAGCTTTTGCTACTTAAAATTAAGCCACGAGGTCATTCTCCCCTTTGCCCTGATTCTGTGTTCAGATACTTCTAAATATTAATATATTACCACGCTATGAGTAGGAAATTCTCGGGCTGGCAATGATTTAAGATGGGAGCCCAGAGATGTCAATTTCAAAATCTCCCACCTTCCTCAATCCATGTACCCACACAAACACCCTAGAATAAACAACTCTAATCCAATCTCTTGGCTTCCCTGGGAGACACTGAAAAAGAATAATTGTCTTGAGCCACACATAAAATACACTAATAGTAGTGATAGCCGATGAGCTTTTTAAAAATCTCAAAAAAACAAAAACCAAACAAAAAAAACCTTAATTTTCTTTTTAAAATAAAATAAATACTGCCACCAACTCTCATCTTTTTTTCTTTGTAGGCCACATCTTACAGTGAGAAAAACATTACTGTTTTAAGAAAACTTACATATTCTCTGAATAGGTGATAAATAAGAAAAAAAAAGTAAAAAAAAAAAAAGTTTACAAATTTGTGTTGGGCCACATTCTAAGCTGTGCTGGGCTGCCCGAAGCCTGTGGGGCATGGGTTGGGGCATGGGTTGGATAAGCTTCCTCTAATGCATCCTGTATCTATACAGGATGTGAAGGAAATGTATTCTATATATGATAACCAGCAGGTAACACTGTTTTCTTCTTCTTTAAACTATTTACATTTTTAGTGATGTGTTATTAGTAAATTATTTCCTTAAAAAAAAATTTTTTTTTTTTTTTTGAGATGGAGTTTCGCTCTTGTTACCCAGGCTGGAGTGCAATGGCGCAATCTCGGCTCACCGCAACCTCCGCCTCCTGGGTTCAGGCAATTCTCCTGCCTCAGCCACCTGAGTAGCTGGGATTACAGGCATGCGCCACCATGCCCAGCTGATTTTTTGTATTTTTAGTAGAGACAGGGTTTCACCATGTTGACCAGGATGGTCTCGATCTCTTGACCTCGTGATCTATCTGCCTTGGCCTCCCAAAGTGCTGGGATTACGGGCGTGAGCCACCGCGCCCGGCCCCAAAAATTTTTTTAAAGATGGGGTTTCACCATGTTGGTCAGGCTGGTCTTGAACTCCCGACCTCAGGTGATCCGCCTGCCTTGGCCTCCAAAGTGCTTGGATTACAGGCATGAGCCACCACGCCCGGCCCAGAGTAAATTATTTCTTGAACTTAAACTATTAACAAATGCTCATTTAGGTGAGTTTTGCCATTTCTTTTGAGTCTATCTTCCATGAGGAGAGAAAACAACTTGTTATTGTGTGACCTTCAATTGCAACCCCAACCCATCACCCCTGTTCCCACAATCAAGGTAAACAGTCTAACTTCTCATTACAGACCTATATGCAGATTCTTTCTTTGCAAGAACAAATTCTTTGGAAGAACAGAGATTATTAGTTTTGAAATTTCTGGTTATAAAAACTTCAGAAATTATTCCTTAAAAGGCGCAGTAAAAACTCTTAATATTAATTAGGGTTTAGCAACATCGTAAGAGTGTAAAAGTCTCCATGGACACCAATGTGCCCATGGTAGCCATCCTGAAACCTACAGTATTTCATTAACTCTGAAACCCAATCAAAAGCAGCTGGACCTTTAATACAGTCATTGGTTAGCAGACCCACCTGAGAGGCAGATCCTCTGCTCAAGCATTCTCACATACACTACAGCCCTGAGCGTGATCCCACAGCTGATTCAGCAAGGCTCTGAACTTCCACAAGTTTCCAAGAAGATGACAATTTTGGAAAATGTAGCAGAACTTAAAAAAATTAATAAAACTATTCCAGTATCCAAATTCAACCATAAAGTCTTGTAAGAACAAGCAGATCTTGATTATAGCCCAGATAATCTGACATCACATATCATCCAAAATATCCATCGTATTTCCCGGGCCTTTGTCTTTCTTATTATACTCTCCTCATCCTTTGCTTAATCAAATCCCACCCATCTCAAGATGGTCCATAAGCCCTATCCTTCTTATTTGAATCCTTCTCTGATTTAGTGTGTACCTAGCTGTTGTGTGCCCACACACACACACACACACACACATGCAGACACACACAATTTATGTTGCTGCATTGCTTATTATTTTGTGTAAGTTACTTATTTTTTTTGAGATGAAGTCTCGTTCTATTGCCCAGACTGGAGTATAGTGGCATAATCTCGGCTCACTGCAACCTCCACCTCGCAGGTTCAAGTGATTCTCCTGCCTCAGCCTCCCTAGTAGTTGGGACTACAAGCGTCTGCCACCACGCCTGGCTAATTTTTGTATTTATAGTAGAGACAGGATTTCACCATGTTAGCCAGACTGGTCTCGAACTCCTGACCTCAAGTGATCCACTGGCCTTGGCCTCCCAAAGGGCTGGGATTACAGGTGTGAGTCACTGTGCCCGACTATTTTATGTAAGTTACTTTATTAGTCTTTGAACTTTTCTTTTTTTTTTTTTTCTTTAGACAGGGTCTTATTCTGTTGGCCAGGCTGGAGTGGAGTGGTATAATCATAACTCACTGTAGCCTCAAACTCCTGGACTGAAAGGATCCTTCTGCCTCACCCTCCTGAGTACCTGGGACTATAGGCATGAGCCATGTGCCTGGAAATTTTTAATTTTTACATTTTTTGTAGATATAGGGTCTCACTATGTTGCCCAGGCTGGTAATAAACTCCTGAGCTCAAACGATCCTCCTGCTTTTGCCTCCCAAAGTGCTGGGATTACAGGTGTGAGCCACCTCGTCTGGCCTCTGAGCTTTTGGTCTGGGAGAACAATGCTGTACATTGTCAACTCCTCATAGAGTGCCTAGCATGGTTCTAGACTGAAACTGGTCTCAATAACTAATTCATTACTCAGATTTTTCTTTCATTCCCTCCTTTATTTTACTGATTTTTTTGAGATGGAGTGTTGCTCTGCTGCCCAAGCTGGAATGCAGTAGCACAATCTTGACTCACTGCAACTTCTGCTTCCCCAGGTTCAAGCAATTCTCCTGCCTAAGCCTCCTGAGTAGCTGGGATTACGGGTACGTGCCACCACGCCTGGCTAATTTTTGTATTTTTAGTAGAGATGGGGTTTCACCATGTTGGCCAGGCTGTTCTGGAACTCCTGACCTCAAGTGATCCGCCCATCTCAGCTTTCCAAAATGCTGGGATTATAGGTGTGAGCCACTGCACCCAGCTTCGTTTTCTTTTAAGCCTGGTATTAAAAATGAGTGTACTTTCCTGAGACCATACCATTGGGAGTGGAAAGGTGGCCTGGAAATCAGGTCATAGCAGAAAAAGGAGAAGCAAGAAGATAGCTAAAATGTTTCCCATAGATAACTCATAATGGGCACAGTTTATCTTTGGATGACAGAGTTGAGCATTTATCAATTTTGAATAAAAGGTATCTCACTAGTAGGCAATACACTTGCTGATCTAAGGGGTTTTTTTGTTTGTGTGTTTCAGCTTGACCTTCTAAGAGGGTCTATAGTTTGCGTGATGCCTATGTGAACAAGAGACAAGCTTCCAGAGTGCCAGGTGTAATTAAACAGCCAGGCTGAGAGGACATCTCTGGCCCAAAAAGCTTAGTATTAGTCAGCTGAGTTGAGGTTCCCCCATATTCTTAGTTCTAGTTTTTGTTTTGTTTTGTTTTTTTTTGAGACAGAGTTTTGCTCTTGTTGCCCAGGCTGGAGTGCAGTGGCATGATCTCAGCTCACTGCAACCTCCACCTCCCAGGTTCAAGCCATTCTACTGCCTCAGCCTCCCAAAGAGCTTGGATTACAGGCATGCACCACCATGCCCAGCTAATTTTTTGTATTTTTAGTAGAGACAGGGTTTCTCCATGTTGGTCAGGCTGGTCTCGAACTTCTGACCTCAGGTGATCGGTCCACCTTGGCCTCCCAAAGTGCTAGGATTACAGGCGTGAGCCACCATGCCTGGCCTTAGTTTTAACAGCTTGTATAGAACATATTCATTATCATTACATGACAATTGCTAGGATGTCTCTGGTTGTTGTTTTGAGATGGAGTCTCACTCTGTCGCCCAGGCTGGAGTGCAGTGGCATGATCTTGGCTCACTGCAACCTCCACCTCCCAGGTTCAAGTGATTCTTCTTTCTCAGCCTCCTGAGTAGCTGGGATTATAGGCACATGCCACCACGCCTGGCTAATTTTTGTATTTTTAGCAGAGATGGGGTTTCATCATGTTGGCCAAGTTGGTCTCGAACTCCGGACCTCGTGATCTGCTCGCCTCAGCCTCCCAAAGTGCTGGGATTATAGGCGTGAGCCACCATGCCCAGCCCTTATTGCCTTTTCTTAAGATTCAAAAGTTGAAGTTTTTTTTTTTTTTGAGATGGAGTTTCACTGTTGTTACCCAGACTGGAGTGCAATGGCACAATCTCGGCTCACTGCAACCTCTGCCTTCTGGGTTCAAGCAATTCTCCTGCCTCAGCCTCCCGAGTAGGTGGGACTACAGGCACGTACCACCATGCCCAGCTAATTTTTTTGTATTTTTAGTAGAGACAGGGTTTCACCTTGTTGACCAGGATGGTCTCAATCTCTTGACCTCGTGATCCACCTGCCTCGGCCTCCCAAAGTGCTGGGATTACAGACGTGAGCCACCACGTCCGGCGAAAAGTTGGAGTTCATATGATCCCAGATAAAAATTTAGAATAATCTTTGCCGAGGGAAATGTGGAACATACTGTTTTCTTGACAGAGGATTAAAATCAGTGTTTCTGATGGTGCTCAAGCTGTAGACAAAAATTGTGCCTTCCTTACTCCACATGGGAGGAACATTTCTTAAGCCTGTATGGTGTTTTCTCCCATGTGAAATATCACCAAATACTCAGAAACCCAAAGGCCTCCTTTGTCTCAAAGCCTATCCAGAGGGAGGTCTGATGGATCAAGATGGCCAGCATGCTATGACGGGCTCTAAGATGTGGGAGCAACTGGACCTGGTTGGGTGATTTATAGGCGGAAATTGGACCTGGGGCCTGAGGACCCCGGCTAGAGAGTTCAATAAAGATGCTCGAGAGTTTCGGCAGGTGAGTAAGATGCTCCTCCTTCCGCACAGCACCGAGAGCAAGCTCCTGGCAAAGCGGCAAGGCCCACACGGAGAAGTCTGGAGAATCGGTCCATTCGATTACGACGTCCTGTGCCCAGATAAACAAGAAAGAGAAAAGGAGTCATCATGTCAACTGCTGGAAAGCCTGTTGGGCACAGGAGGTGGTCTCCATCACCCAGCTGGAGGAGGTGTGGATATAACTCGGCAGGCCCTAGGGACGTGCCTCTGCCAGGCGGAGGGGAAGACTGCACTCTCAGAAGATGACTCTGGAGAGATTCCCTCCTCCTTGTTGGGGAGAACGTCGACAAGAGCCCACCGTGTCAAGAAAGGACCCAGATGCAAAGCTGAGAAAAGATCCTGAAGGATCCCAAGACAGCACCAGCAGGCAAAACAAAAAGGAGAGCCAACCGAAAGCAAAAAGGAAACCCCAGTGTGGAATCATTTCATACGTAAAAGGTGGGTAAAAAAGAAGACTGTTTAAGGTAGTCATAGGCCTTGATGATTCAGTATCAAAGGATGTGATTCTATCAAGATTAGAGCTTTGTATTGTAACAGATGGTCCATATTCAAAACGGCCTGGCCCAGGGCATTACTACTTTTTCAATGGCAGTCTGTGGGCATAAGCCATCATCATCCAACACTTCAGCATTACATTTTCTCTTATTCTGAGGAGCCCCAACCCAGACTTAGTCAACGCTTGCAGTTGCCAACATACAACTATTTCTAAGGCCGTATATTCCCTGCTCCACCAAAATTGTTCTCCTGCAGCTGGAACTCAGTCGCTTTCTCTGTAACAGCAAACCACCTCAGCAACACTAGCGTCGGAAAAAGGAAGCGCATCATTGCAAGGAGAAAAACACATGCATTCTAGTCTCACATGCATACAAAATCACTGTTAACCTTCATTTCATTAAGAAGAAGTAGAACTCAGAGTGTCTGAAATCCTTCAGGCATCAATTCAAGGATTTCATTTCCCTACCTGTTAAGAAACTGTACTGAAGATTAAAACTTTAGACAATTCTTAAATACTCCCAAACTTAAAAAAACAAGTTCCCTACAGATTCTTGTTGTGCAACTTGTGGATTCATTTAAGATGTGGATACCTGCTTCCTATTCTTCAGTTTCCATCAAGGTCAGTAAGTCGATTCCAAAATAGCTCAGTGTCATCAACCTGTCCCGATATGCTGAATTATCGATGAAGCTAATTATCTGAGTCTGTCTTGACACTAAGCCATCAACCATCTTTTACTTTTTTTTTTTTTTTTTTTTTTTTTTAGCGATCCTTGGTGCTAAAAGCTTTTACTTTAATTATAGAACAGACTCTCTCATTTGATACTGAGGTGGTCCTTTGTTAGAAAATCTGGGGCAGGATTTCTTAAAATATGATGAGAAGGCCATACTGTTTGAAATGCATATTCCTAGGCCTATAGTCAGAAATCTCTCTGTGTCTGCAGGTAAAAGCTCCTCCGGCAAAAGCCACTACCCTTGGACTCTTCTTTCCATGACAATCAGGGACTTCATTCACAGCTATGCTCTTCCCTGGAGATCAGTGTCAAATTCCAGCCTTCAGAAAAGCCAGACCATGAGCATCTCATTCCCATAGTCCTGATCTTACCAATGTTACACCCAAGATTCTGGTTTGGTGCGCTCCACAAAGGAGTCTAACTAAAGCATTAAACTCAGAAGCATATATGAAAAACGAAATGAGATAGTGTAAAATGCATTATAGCAGCTCTTTTAAAAACTTGAGTAGTAGGCCACGTGTGGTGGCTCACGACTGTAATCCTAGCATTTTGGGAGGCCAAAGCAGGAGGATCACTCGAGCCCAGGAGTTTGAGAGCAACCTGGGCAACATGATGAAATCCCATCTCTACCAAAAACAAAACAAAAAAATCAGTGGGATGCGGTGGTGACGCCTATAGTCTTAGCTACTAGAGAGGCTGGCGCAGGAGGATCACCTGAGCCCAGGAGGCAGAGGCTTCATGCTACTGCACTCCTGCCTGGGTGACCAAGTTAGACCCTATCTCAAAAAAAAAAAAAAAAATCAGTAATGGAAATATGTGAGAAAACAACTGATTTATAGTGTGAGCAGCTACAGAAAGTACAATGGCTGGGGTGGTGGTTCACATCTGTAATCCCAGCACTTTGGGAGGCTGAGGCAAGAGGATTGCTTGAGCCCAGGAACTGAGACCAGCCTGACATGGTGAAACTCTTTCTCTCTTTTTTTTTTTTTAAACTTTTTTTAAGTGGACTATCTGTCAAATGAAACCTTTCTCTACAAAAAATATAAAACGTAGCTGAGTGTGGTGGGGAGTACCTCTGGTCCCAGTTACTCACGAGGCTGAGGTGGGAGGATTGCTTGAGCCTGGGGAGGTTGAGGCTGCAGTGAGCTGTGACTGTGACATTTCACTGCAGCTTGGGTGACAGTGAGGTCCTGTCTCAAAAAAAAAAAAAAAGTGTGCAGCCAGGCATGGTGGCTCATGCCTGTAATCCCAGCATTTAGGGAGGCCAAGGTGGGTGGGTCACGAGGTCAGGAGTTCAAGACCAGCCTGGCCAACATGGTGAAACCCCATCTCTACTAAAAATACAAAAATTAGCCAGGTGTGGTGGTATGCACCTGTAATCCCAGCTATCAGGAGGCTGAGGCAGGAGAATCGCTTGAACCTGGGAGGCGGAGGTAGCCCAGATCATGCCATTGCACTCCAGCCTGGGTGACAGAGCAAGACTCTGTCTCAAAAAAAAAAAAGTGTGCAAAAAAATCCTCTCTTTTTGTTAGCAGGAGTAGGCATTTTTGTTGAGATCCTGACACAAGAAACGTTATTCTATATGCTTCCAAAGCTTAGAAGATCACACACACTCCTCCTCATGAGAAATTACTGATATATCAGAAAAATTGGAGATGTCACATGTTAAAACTTATTGCTTTTTTCGTACTTTAGATTATCTTAGAGAAAATTATTTCTTAAAATATTATCTCTGCAGTTACGATGTTACACACACATCACCACCCTCTGAGGCCAAATCACGCCCCAACATGCAGAATTCAGTGGAGGTGAAGTGGCCGAAGGCGGGTATGCTCTGTCTGTGGCCTTACTTTGAGATCCCAAAGCTTGAGTGTCAGTGTTCTCACAGGTGTGTCTGTTTTAAGGACATCTGAAATTGGAAAACCGCTCTCGCCTCTTACTTTGGAGAAGGAAAAAGGGCAGGGTGCACATACCAATGGCGGGCCCTCCTTGCTTCTTCTCTTCCAAGATGGCAGCCAGGTCTTTATGCACAGATTTCTGATGCTGACTGGCCAGTGGCTGCTCCAGCTCCGGACTTTTCACTTTTAAAAGCTGATTTGCCTTCTTAATCTTCTGACTGTACTGACGAGCCATCATAAACACCCTGCTTTTTGTCTTATCTATGGCCTCCATCCCCGGGTCAGGGTTTTCTGGGTCTGTTTGAGACAGGCCACTGCCGGCCAGGTCATAGGGACTGTCCATGAGGGGCATCTCACTGGCCAGAGAGATCCGGTTGAGGCTCAGAAAGGAGCCTTCTTTAGAAATCAGGTCTTCCTCAAAGGGGCAGTTGGCATGGCTGGCTCTGCCAGGCCTGCTCTTCACAGGTGTGAGGAGAGCCTGGCTCTCAGGCAGGGACAGTGTGGACACAGTGCGCCCTGTGTCCCGGCTCAGCTCAGGGCGGCCCTCTGTGTGCAGCCTGTCCGGCACATCATCCTTGCTCACAGGAAACGCTGCAAGGAGACGGTCTCTGGCCTTGTCTTCATTTTTCTTGATGTAATTTTCCAGGTCATTCCAGATTTCATCGACTTCTTCGGACAGTTTATCAGATACAGGCTTCTCAGGCATGGACAAGTTACAGCTGGGAGAGTCATAGAGGAAACTCAGATAATCATGATCGGGGGTAGCCTGGTGGTAAGGGGCTTCGTCCTCACTGAACTGGAGACTGCCTTGGGAAACAAATGGCCTCAGGCTGTCACAGCACACGAAGTCGGCCTCCAGACCCAAAAAGGTGCTCCGCTTGGCACGCTTTAGGCTGCTGGACTTAAAACCCAGTGACGGAGGATCTGGGAGTCCTATGGTATCGTAGATGTTCTCCTCAACCGCCTGGAGTTCACGCGTGCTCTGGCTGGATGCCTCTCCACCTGAAAGCGCGCCATCCTTTTGTGCGTAAAGAGAGCCGTTGCTGTGGCCAGCTTGCCTCTTTGTGAAGGCTAGCTCTGGGGTGCTCTTGGGGCGAACGGAGTCCCAGGCTGATTTGGAGGGAGTGGATTCAGCTTCCTCCCGCTTAGCAGCCATCAATTTTAAGTCCTCATAACTGATGTTATCATAGACGTGGTCTATGTCATCAATAGTCAACTCTACGGATGACCCAAAGGGATTCATCTCCTCCTGCCCTTCTGTTTCAAGGCCGTTCTGCAGTTCCCTCGTTCTGTCCCTAGTTCTTATTTCAGGAGAGCAGGTGTTGCTCTCCCCAGCACTGCTGGCCCGCCTGACAATCCTGTGACCAGAGCTGGAGGTCTCAGTGGACTCAATCTGTCCCATATGCCAGCTACAAGGGCGACTAGAAGTGCTGTCTTCACAGAGTCTGGTAGAGTTCAGATCTGAAGAGGAAAAGGATGGCACGAACAGCTGATAATCATCCTCGTCATCCTCGTTCTCCTGTGGGGACCGTCGGCTGGGAAACAAGGCTTGCCTGATCTGGTGATCAGTCCAGATGTTTCTGATGGCTCCACCTGCTCGAAGCACGCTGATCATGGAAGAACTGCTAGGCTGACTGCTTCTCTGGGCATGAGATGGCCTTGCTGAAGTCAGCTGGGGAGATCCTTCCTCTCTAGAAACCTGAGGAAGATGGAAACATATCAGCTGAATGACAGCACCATGGAGAAGACACATAGTTCAGGAATTTCTCCTGTGTTTACACATCGCCTCTGCCAACTAGACTTTAATATTATTTTTTAAAAATTTTATTATTATTATTATTTATTTATTTATTTATTATTATTTTTTTTGAGATGGGGTTTCACCATGTTGGTCAGACTGGTCTCAAACTCCTGACCTCAGGTAATCCACCCACCTCGGCCTCCCAAAGTGCTGGGATTACAGGCGTGAGCTACTGCGCCTGGACAACTTCAATATTCTTTTTTTTTTTTTTTTTTCTGAGATGGGGTCTTGCTGTGTTATCCAAGCTGATCTCAAACTCCTGGACTCAAGCAATCCTTCCACCTCAGCCTCCCAAGTAGCTGGCACTACGGGTGTGAGCCACTGCACCTGGCTGGGTGTTTATTATTATTACTATTATTATTTTTGAGATGGAATTTTGCTCTGTCACCCAGGCTGGAGTGCAGTGGTGCAATCTTGGCTCACTGCAACCTCCATCTTCCAGTTTCAAGCAATTCTCCTGCCTCAGCCTCCCAAGTAGTTGGAATTACAGACACGCACCACCATACCTGGCTAATTTTTGTGTTTTTTTAATTTTAAAAATTAAAAAATTTTTTAATGGTGCTCTATACGTTCAGAGAAACTTCTCTAGTAACAAACTACAGAAATGATCCCTGAAAGTATAGTCTTTATTTTTATATTTTTAGAGTAGAGATGGGGTTTCACCATGTTGGCCAGGCTGGTCTCGAACTCCTGACCTCAGGTGATCCACTTGCCTCAGCCTCCCAAAGTGCTGGGATTACAGGTTTGAGCCACTGCACCCGGCTGAGTGTTGATTTTAATTGACTTAAAAAGCACTTCAGATATTTTCAAAAAGGGAAGGACAGGAACTAATAGATATACATTTAGAAACTAGGCTGGATAATGTACAGTCATTCTCCAAACTTATATTCACAATCATCTTATGAATTAGATATGATCGTACCAATTTCACAGTAAGGGAATCTAGGTTCCTAAAGGTTCAGTAACCTGCTCTACCTAGTCAGTGGTAAGGCTTGTGCTAGAACCCAGGTCTAACCCCAAACCCTTTGCCCCAAAGTAGGATATAAGCTAAATACAGAAAACTCGTAGATTCTTCAAATAAGTCTGGTATATACTTGGCAAATATTTATTGCATAAATATATATAGATGTTAAGGGCCATGCTATCTGGTTTCTACTTGAGACTTTCTAAGGACCTTTAGAGGCAGTGCTTGTCCCTCAGGAGTTTTATCATGGTTTCTGATATACCAAAAGCCCCTGCTGCTGATGTGACTACATACGCCAAGGATTTCTCTTAAATCTGCAGATCCACCACAAACATGGCCAGCATTACCTTGGTTTATAGAATCTAGGCAAAGAGTTTTTATTGTAGGAATGTAATTGAATCCTCTGTTGAGTTAATGATATTTTTACTTCTTTCAAAATATATTTAATTAACATTTAATTGCCTATAAGGAAGTAAAATAGGAGTGATATTAATCATTTTTTAAATTTTTATTTTTTTTCTTTGAGACAGAGTCATGCTCTGTTGACCAGGCTGTAGTGCAGCCTGGCTCACGTGGCATGATCTTGGCTCACTGCAACCTCTGCCTCCTGGGTTCAAGCAATTCTCGTGCCTCAGACTGCAGAGTAGCTGGGACTATAGGTGTCCGCCGCCACGTCTGGCTAATCTTTGTATTTTTAGTTGAGACAGGGTTTTGCTCTGTTGGCCAAGCTGGTCTTAAACTCCTGTTCTCAAGAGATCTGCCCACCTCAGCCTCCCAAAGTGCTATGCACCCGACCATATTAATGATTTCTAATCAACGAAAACAATGAGGTCTTTTATGACTTGGAACCTTTCTTGACAGAGCTCAGTGGTACAGACAGGAGTAGATTACTCTCTGATGCTAGTCTGCAGATGGAAGAATTAACTTCAAAGCTTTGAAAGCGTAAAGACCTAATTAGTACCAGGGGCATATATTCTAATAAAACACTATAGGAACCTACTGGAAATGTCAAATTAGAAAGAACTTTTCATCACATGTCAATGAAAAAGGGATATATGTTAATTGGAATATCTATTAGGGAAGGAAGAGAGGAGTAGAAAAGACAATAACATTTCATCCTAAATGTTTTTTTTTGTGTGTGTGTGCGCCCTCTTTCTATGAAAACTTAAGCAACTCAATTAGTCATTTATTTCTTTTCACACAAGCACGTGCGTGCGCGCACACACACAATATTTCTATCTAATAGTTTTTGTATATATGTTTTTCATATCCTTTAATACCTCTTCCTCTTCACCTTACTTAGACTGCACTGGTATAATGTTTATAAAAATAGAGGCACCCAGTAACAACTTTTTATAAAGTAAAACAAGGTTAATATTAACTATGACAAAATACTTTTGTTTTTTGAGACAGAGTTTCACTCTTGTTGCCCAGGCTGGAGTACAATGGCATGGTCTTGGCTCCCTGCAATCTCCACCTCCTGGGTTCAAGCAATCCTCCTGCCTCAGCCTCCTGAGTAGCTGGTATTACAGGCATGTGCTACTCTGCCTGGCTAATCTTTGTATTTTTAGTAGAGATGGGGTTTCACCATGTTGGCCAGGCTGGTCTTGAACTCCTGACCTCGTGATCTGCCCGCCTCGACCTCCCAAAGTGCTGGGATTACAGGTGTGAGCCACTGCACCCAGCCAACAAAACACTTTTAAAGAGTAACAAAATTATTTTGTGTTTCTCACAATAGCCAAAAGTGATCCTTCTAAGATGGTCCATCCCAGAAAATTCCCAAAGGTTTTAGAAAATTAGAAAACCTGAATTGTTAACATTGAGGTATCTTCTTAAGGTAATTACACTTGAAATGAAAATAGCAGTTTTTTGGAAGCTGTAAATTTACATCAAGTTAATCATTAGGAAAACTGAAGATGCTCTTAGATTAAAGAGGTAATCAGCCAGGCATGGTGGCTCATGTCTGTAATCCCAGCACTTTGGGAGGCAAAGGAGGGCAGATCACTTGAGTCCAGGAGCTTGAGACCAGCCTGGGCAACATGGTGAGAAACCCTGTCTCTACAAAAAATTAAAAAAAAAAAAGTAATAATCAGGCTGGACATGGTGACACACAACTGTAATCCCAGCACTTTGGGAGGTAAAGGTGGGAGGATCATGTAAATTAAGGAGTTAGAGATCAGCCTGGGGTAACATCGTCAGACCTTGTCTCTACACAAAGTAAAAGAATTAGCCAGGCGTGGTGGCACATGCCTGTAGTCCCAATTACTTAGGAAGCTGAGGTGGGAGGATTCCTGAGCCTGGGAGGTTGAGGTTGCAGTGAATTGAGATCGTGCCACTGCATTCCAGCCTGGGTGACAGAGCAAGACCCTGTCTCAAAATAAATAAATGTTAAAAAAGAGAAAGAATGAGCGTATGGTTGGTCATAATATTGAAAGTAATGGTAAAAATCACAATTACTTTTGCACCAACCTAATAATTTCGATACCTCAATTTTACCAGAGCCAGGATGAACTTTTTTTTCCTGTCCTTCCACATTTTCAACATCAGAGCTATTTAACAATGACATTAGCTATCAGGTATAGAACACTGGCTTTGTGCCAGTGATTCCACTAATAAATACTTTTAAGAACATGTTGCATTTAATCTTTAGGACAGTTCTGTAAATTAGGACGCTAAGTCCTGGTAAGGTTAAGCAATCTGCCTGTAGTCACACAGTTTATAAATGGCAGAAATGGATTTGAATCCATGTCTTAATCCACAGTTCATATGTAAGCTTAACCACCTCATACACACATGTACCCAGCCTCAGAATATATATTCTGGGAGAAATATTAAGCTATTCTTAAGGAATATTTCCTGTTATAAACTACTTCTGTATTTATTTATGAGACAGAATCTCACTCTGTTGCCCAGGCTGGAGTGCAGTGGCACTATCTCAGCTCATCACAACCTCTACTTCCTGGCTCAAGTGATCATCCAGTCTCAGCTTCCCAAGTAGCTGAGTGTGGTAGTTCAGTCAGTGCGGTGGCAAAAATATTAAGGGCAAAATATTAAAGTTATAGAAAACAGTCACAGACCTTCTTGGAAGGCCGGAAGGTTTTGTAAAAGCCTCAGGATAGAATTATGGCTGAAGGCAGCGTAATCCTCTTTGAGCTAATAGCAAAAGTAAGTAATAAAAGAAGGTAAGGGAATTTATCTAAATAGCTTGTTGACTGATGTGGTCCTAAAAACTAACCTTTAATCTTTTGAGGACCAGATGGCTCTCTCCAGGTGAGGGTGACCAGATCTATCACCTGCAAATGGTGTCTGCTTTAGGCCTTGGCACTTGGCCTTTAATCTTTACCCTCTACTGGTGTTGACTCAAAGTCTTTGTCATTTAATGAGTGTTGAATAAAGGCTGGGAAGGCCAACATGTCGGGGCTGGCAGCCGTTAACTCCTTTGGGTGAGTAGCCACAGTACCCCTAGCCTGCTCTTCCACCATACTCTGCGTCTGAGTGAATTTGTTCATCCATCGTGGGGTTGGGGTCTGCCTCTTGGACCCCGACAGCTAGGACCACTGGCACAAGCCACCACGTCTGGCTCATTTTTGTATTTTTTGTGGAGGGGGGTTTCGCCATGTTGTCCAGGCTGATCTTGAACTCCTGAGCTCAAAGTGATCTGCCCACCTCAGCCTCCCAAAGTGCTAGGATTACAGGCATGAGCCACCACGCCTGGCTGTTATAAACACTTTAACCATCAGTAAATCTGCTCTCCTTAAATTTAATATACCTTCAGCACATTACTATTAGGAGACGGAATTTTACCACGAAAAGAGCATGGTGCTTTTTTTCTTGTCTTCTGATTTTATAAGGTTTGGTTATACCCATATGGACCTGGCTTGAGCACTGCTGTAGAAAGTTTCCAAGCAGCTCCTGATTCAATCTCTAGAACTCTTTCATGGAGAGATTCCTTCTTTTAGCACTGAGAGGGGCTTGGCTTTACAATCCTACTATGGCTGCTTTTAAGAGCAGGGAGCCCTCTGCAGTGACCCCACTTATGAAATCAAAACCTTATGCTGTATTTCAGGACAATGACCCAATTAATATTAACAAATTTCAAATGTTTCCAAACAAAAATATGTCCTACCTGAAAAAAAAAAATACACACGCCTGAGCCATGACAATCAGTTAATGATAAGACTATGTTTGCCTGGGCATGGTGGCTCATGCCTGTAATCCTAGGACTTTGGGAGGCTGAGGTGGGTGGATCACCTGAGGGCAGGAGTTCGAGATTGGCCTGGCCAACTTGGTGAAACCCCCTCTCTATTAAAAATACAAAAATTAGCTGGGCATGGTGGTGACTGCCTGTAGTCCCAACTACTAGGATCCTCAGGAGGCTGAGGCAGGAGAATTGCTTGAACCCATGAAGCAGAGGTTGCAATGAGCCGAGATTGCGCCACTGTACTCCATCCTGAGAGACAGAGCAAGACCAGTCTCAAAAGAAAAAAAAGATAAGACTATGTTGATTTTTATAGACATTTTCTTGGTTTTAATGGAGAGATACAGCATTTATCAACAGGGTCACTTTGGTTCTGTGCTATTCCATGGTGTAAATGGGATTGTAGGGAGAGATTTACTTTTCCTTTTTTTTCTTTGAGATGGAGTTTTGCTCTGTTGCCCAGGCTGGAGTACAGTGGTGCAATCTCAGCTCACTGCAACCTCCACCTCCCAGGTTCAAGTGATTCTCCTGCCTCAGCTTTCTGGATAGCCGATACAGATGTGCATCACCACACCCAGCTAAATTTTGTATTTTTAGTAGAGATGAGGTTTCACCATGTTTGCCAGGCTGGTCTCAAACTCCCAACCTTAGGTGATCCACCCACCTTGGACTCCCAAGGTTCTGGGATTACAGGCACGAGCCACTGTGCCTGGCCAGGAGAGATTTTCATAGCCATATTCTTCCAGATACACAACATTAAACAAGAAACCATGACCATTTCTCAAAGAATTGTTAATTAAGCCAACCGATCAGCAGCCACACTGGACAAACCACTCAGCTCAGGAGAAAATACCTGTTCTTCATAGGTAATACAGTTGGGTATAATATCTCCCGAGACAGTATACCGTTCTTATTCTCACTCGCCTAAGCTTTTGTCAGGGGAAGAACAATCACAACTTGATATGGCAAAGTCTCATTCAATCACATGTCATCACCTCTCATGTCAGCACAGAACCACATTCTTAGAAGGGGGTCTCTAGCCCTTGTGAATGAAGGCTTGTGCTTGGAGGAGGGAGTCATATCCAGGAGGCAGGGGCCTTGGTCTTACACCAGTGGAGGCAAAGGACAATGTGAGGAGGCTCATGTTAGCGCTAGGCAGATATTACACCTTCAGGTACGGTTACAGCCTCTGAGGTGGGATGTGGGGCAGAGGATGAATAAATAATCACCTTGCTTCTCAGATGTGGGTGGGGGAAGGGAAGACGTCACTAAGGATGAGTCTTCGCTTAAATCAAATGTAAATAATTCAAAATTTAAAATACCAAATTGCCAAAATGTAAAATGATTGTTGACACTTGGAATACGGGCTGGGGATCAGAGAGATGGGGAAGTGACACAGATGAAGGGTGTCTGAAATGAACATTTCCAAGTAAGAAATGTGACAGAGCTTACCTTTCGGATGTCTTGTGCTGTTTCTGAAAAACAAAAGGTTTTTTTTCAAGTTTGAGAATGAAAATGTACTTCTTATATAAGTAAGCACTAGTATTTTATAGGACTTAGAAACTTATTACTAATAATTGAAGCCCATGTGACTTCGGGGCCCTATAGATCTAATGTTTGGAAAATAGCTGTCAGCTCTTCCAGCTGCATACCCGCTACACTATATGCATCTGAGCCTTAGGCATCTTCCTGGATCCCTGACAGCCATGAATTAACCATCTTCAAGATGCTCCAAAAGCTTCTGAACAAAAATATGTTGTTTCCTGAAGAAAAAATGCACACACTCTAGGCCATACAATCATGTCGAGATGATGCTGCTTCTGTTGATTTTTCCACATTTTATTGGTTTTAACTGAAAGATGCAGCCTTCCTGCAACTAAGGAGTGCTGCAAGTGGAATTGTGGGGAGAAACTGACATAGCCACATCCTCACAGAAGACACCCTTCTAGCTAGCCTGATTATGGGTGTCTCGTCTTTAAACACCATTACAGAAGCATATGAAGTCCTTCCCTCCCCACAGATCCCACCCCAAGGTAACAAGAGTTAACAGCTGAATGTTTATCTTTCCAGCTCCTGCACTGCCCCCTCCCACTACAATGACTGTTTTGCTTTTTTTTTTTCTTTGAGACAGAGTCTTGCTCTGTCATCCAGACTAGAGTGCAGTGGCACAATCTTGGCTTACTGCAGCCTCTGTCTCCCAGGTTCAAGCAATTCTTGTGTCTCAGCCTCCCCAGTAGCTGGGATTACAGGCATGATCAACCACGCCTGGCTAATTTTTGTACTTGTAGTCAAGATGGGGTCTTGCCATGTTGCCCAGGTTGGTCTCGAACTCCTGACCTCAAGTGATCCACCTCCCAAAGTGCTGGGATTGCAGGTGTGAGCCACCACGCCTGGCCTGTTTCACTTTTGAAATAAGAATGCAATATGTAACTATGTATATTCTGCTAAATATTTGAAGACACTTTTATGAACAGGTAGGGATCTGCTTTATTTTTGACAGCTGTAGAATATTCCATTGTGTGTAAGGATGTACTACAATTTCTTTAAATATATTTCTTACTGCATGGACATTTTTATAGAGTGTCCTATTACAAATAATGCACAGAACAAACTTGTACATAAATCTGTCCACATGTGAGTAAGTACATCTGTGCAGGTGAAACTGTTGGGTTAAGGGCAAATGTACATTTTAAATGACCATTACCAAATTTTGCCCCTGAAATGCTGCAAAAATTTACACTCCCACCAATAATTTTGGAGCAATTTTTTTTTTTTTTGAGATGGAGTTTCGCTCTTGTCACCCAGGTTGGAGTGCAAGAGTGCAATCTTGGCTCACTGCAACCTCTGCCTACCAGGTTCAAATGATTCTCCTGCTTCGGCCTCCCAAGTAGCTGGGATCACAGGTGCCTGCCACCACCCCCGGCTAATTTTTGTAGTTTTAGTAGAGGTGGGGTTTCACAATGTTGGCCAGGCTGGTCTTGAACTCCTGACCTCATGTGATCTGCCCACCTCAGCCTCTCAAAGTGCTGGGATTACAAGTGTGAGTTACTGCACTCAGTGGGAGTGATGATTTTTCTGTTTTGGCTAACCTCATAGTTTTTTCCCTTATATTTATTTCATTTAAATGTATGGGTGTTCAGATTATGAATATGGATGACCATTTAAAAATTTTATTGGCGGTTTGTGTGTTTTATGAAACTGCCCAAATATATTCTCTGTACTTTTTTCTTAAAGAGCCCTTTGTCTTTTCTTTTTGATGTATGGGGTTTATACAATAGAAATATTAATGTTTTTATGCCTGTCAAATATATTACAACTATTTTATGTCATCTGACTGTACATTTTAAATTTTATTGTTGTTTTTATTATTTGAGACAGAGTCTCACTCTGTTGCCCAGGCTGGAGTGCAATAGCGCAATCTCAGTTTACCGTAACTTCTGCTTCCCAGGTTCAAGTGATTCTCCTGCCTCAGCCTCTCAAGTAGCTGGGACTATAGGCATGAGCCACCAGGCCTGGCTAATTTTTGTATGTTTAGTAGAGATGGGGTTTCACCATGTTGGCCCGGCTAGTCTCAAAGTCCTGGCCTCAAGACAGTCACCTGCCTTGGCTTCCCAAAGGGTTGGGATTACAGGTGTGAGCCACTGTGCCTGGCCTTTTTTGTTTTATAGACGTTAATCTTTTTGTAATCAAATCAAATCTGTCAATCTGTAATTAATCTATTTATTTTTGTGTGGTTTGATTTAGTGACTATCAAGAATGAAACAGGAAAATATATTTTACGACTTACCACTGGTCTTCAAAACTTTATGTGATCGTGAGGAAGGTTCTGGGAGACAAAACAAAGCCAGCATCATTCGCAAAACCACATCAAACCTTTTTCTTCATGAAAGGATTACAAATCTATTGACAGATTCACAGAGCTCTAGAACTTTTGTTTCAAATTTAACAAAATCCCCATGGCTCAGAGATACATAGGAACAAGATGCTCACTCTGCTAAAATATTCTAATAAATGTTACACTGTGTTATCAGAAGTCGCATGATAGAAAAGCAAAATCTGACTTTATCAATCCTGTCACTAGCAGAGTGGCTTCCTCAGCATTCACTAACACCTACAAGTTGATGATGTTCAATTGTATATTCTTTTTTTTTTTTTTAGACGGAGTTTCGCTCTTGTTCCTCAAGGCTGGAGTGCAATGGTGCCATCTCAGCTCACTGCAACCTCTGCCTCCCGGGTTCAAGTGATTCTCCTACCTCAGCCTTCTGAGTAGCAGGGATTACAGGCACCCACTACCACGCCCAGCTAATGTTTGTATTTTTAGTAGAGACAGGGCTTCACCATTTTGGCCAGGCTGGTCTCGATCTCTTGACCTCGTGATCTGCCCACCTCAGCCTCCCAAAGTGCTGGGATTATAGGCGTGAGCCACCGTGCCCAGCCAGATTAGTATTTATTTGCTTTTGAGACTGAGTCTTGCTCTGTCGCCCAGGCTGGAGTTCAGTGGTGAGATCTCATCTCACTGTAACTTCCGCCTCCTGGGTTCAAGCGATTCTCCTGTCTCAGCCTCCCGAGTAGCTGGAATTACAGGTGCCTGCCACCACGCCTGTCTAATTTTTGCATTTGTAGTAGAGACAGGGTTTTACCATGTTGGCTAGGCTGGTCTCAAACTCCTGACCTCAGGTGATCCTCCTGCCTCAGCCTCCCGAAGTGCTGGGATTACAGGTGTGAGCCACCCTCCCCGCCGCCTTATTTGCATTTTTTGTCTCTCCCACCATTAGCTCCTTGCAAGCAGGAGTCACGTGGATTATTTATCCTTGCATTCCTAGACCTTAAAGTAGGTTATAAGCATACTATTAAAGCATAAAGTAGGTTATAAAAAAAGACTGCTTCAAATAAAACCCAAAACCTGTCAACACTTCATGGAGTCTGGTGCAGCAAACACGAATTAAACCTTGAGCTTGGGGTATCTTTTGTGTGTGTCACTCATAGGGTGTGATTTTTCGTTAGCAACAGCAAACACGGTTTAAGTATCTGCAGGCCAATGGTAAGACGTTGTACAAAGCAAAATTAGTTGACTGGCATGCTTGATATTCACTGGGAAATATTAAGTAGAAATAGTTTTTTGTTTGTTTGTTTGTTCTGAGACAGAGCCTCACTCTGCCGCCCAGGCTGGAGTGCAGTGGCACGATCTTGGTCACTGAAACCTCCACCTCTCTGGTTCAAGGGATTCTCCTGCCTCAGCCTCCCAAATAGCTGGGATTATAGGCACCTGCCACCACACCTGGCTAATTTTTATATATTTACTAGAGAGGGGGTTCACCATGTTGGCCAAGCTGGTTTTGAACTCCTGACCTCAGGTGATCCACCTGCCTCAACCTCCCAAAGTGCTGGGATTACAAAGAAAAGAGTTTTAGAACAAACGCTTGAGAGTCCCATCTTAAGGCAGCCTCAAATGTATTCAGACCATCAGTGAGCTCAGAAGGCAGATAGAACGTGCCCTCTTGTCAGACCCAAAGAGACTTTCTTTGCCAGTGCCCCCTAGTTTTAAAGTTGTATGACAATATCCTACTTACCCGATTTTCTTCTCAGCCGATGCGGAGCAGAACCTTCTTTAGAGCCACAGAACGCTTTCGTGTCTCCCTCAGGACTGTAACAGAAGCCTGGGTAGTCTGTGAAGATGACCATGAACATCAGCAGGACTGTGGTGTCTGGGGCGTCTCAGAAAACTGTTATGACTAATGTAGATTTTAGTTTTTTTTGTTTGTTTTTGAGACAGAATCTCACTCTGTTGCCCATTGTGGAGTGCAGTGGCATGATCTTGGCTCACTGAGGAACTCCACTTCCCAGGTTCAAGTGATTCTCCTGCCTCAGCCTCCCGAGTGGCTGGGACTACAGGCATGTGCCACCATACCTGACTAATATTTGTATTTTTAGTACAGACGGGCTTTCACTACGTTGGTCAGCTGGTCTTAAACTCCTGACCTCAGGTGATCCACCAGCCTCGGCCTCCCAAAGTGCTGGGATTACAGGTGTGAGCCACTGTGCCCGGCGTATATGGATTTATTCTTTTTCATCCGACATGGATATGATCCTCCTTCCATAAGTGGTGCTGTATATGTATCTGAGGGTTTTTTGTTTCACTGAGACTTGTAGGAGTCTGTGAGCTCACTGCCCTCTCTCCCTCTCTTCCCTTACATCCCCACCACCTCAGGCCCTCCTTTTTCACTCCTATAAATGGATCCCAAAGTGCTGGGTGAGGTGGCTCACACCTGTAATCCCAGCAAGACACCAAGGCCAGCAGATCACTTGAGGTTAGGAGTTTGAGACCAGCCTGGCCAACACGGTGAAACCTTGTCTGTACAAAAACCATAAAAATTAGCTGGGAATGGTGGCATGTCCCTGTAGTCCCAGCTACTCAGGAGGCTGAGGCAGGAGAATCGCTTGAACCTGGGAGGCAGAGGTTGCAGTGAGCTGAGATCATGCCACTGTACTCCAGCCTGACCAACAGAGTAAGATTCTATCTCAAGAAAAAAAAAAGGCTATCAATCAGCTTTATCCTTCCTAGAAAGTGAGTTCCTTCATGCCCCTGCAGAAATTGTTGTCTTCCAGAGCAGTGACTCTTAATCTTTTTCTAGACATCATTCCTCCGAGCATCTGACAAATGCTTTAGATTCTCTTACCAGAAAAGAAATTTTCATTTAATTTCATCAAGTTTGTGTCTTTGTACCATTTAAGGGATACAGACTTTGGGTTAAGGAACCCTGGTTTAATGGTAAGGTACTGACGCATATTCAATGATCACCTGCACCCTAGCCTAGGGGCAAACAATTTACAACAAGCCATGAACGGGTACTCCTCAAATTAGGGGGAAGGGGCCGGGTGTGGTGGCTCATGCCTGTAATCTCAGCCCTTTGGGAGGCCGAGGCAGGCGGATCACTTAAGGTCAGGAGTTTGAGACCATTCTGGCCAACATAGTGAAACCCCATCTCTACTAAAAATTCAAAATATTAGCCAGGCATGGTGGCACACGCCTGTAATCTCAGCTACCGGGGAGGATAAGGCAGGAGAACCGCTCCAGTCCAGGAGGCGGAGGTTATAGTGAGCTGAGATCACGCCACTGCACTCCAGCCTCGGTGAGACTCTGTCTCAGAGAAAAACAAAATCAGGGGGAAGGCTCTTCAAAGGTATCTCAAGTTCAGAGAGATATTCTGAGGATCAAAAAGACCAAATGGGCTTTTCCAAAGTCAATGGAAAGTTTCATAATGTGGTCATCTGACCCAATGGGCTGGCCTACTCTGCTCACATTCAACCAAGTTCAAACTCAGGGCTGGGCAAATAATGTCACTGCCTCAGGCTGGGCTGCTCTGGCCCAGGCCTAGGCCTGGAAGAGATCCGTGTGGCACCAGTTAGTGGCTTGACATAATTCTGGACACTCATAGAATCGAACTGGCTTCCGAGTGCTTGCCCAGAGTGTGGGATTCAGCAAATTGTTTTGCTGAATGGAGTTAGTCACAGTAATAGTTAACTTCTCCAGTTCCCAGCCTCCTTCATTTTTCCTCCTGATCTACACATGCCCATCCAAGACCTCGCCTTCTCTTCACAGTGTTCTTTCGCCTCTTTTCAGAGTGTTCTCTGACTCTGGGAGATGGAGTCTTGCAGTGGTGTGATCTTGGCTCATTGAAACCTCCACTTCCCGGGTTCAAGCAATTCTCCTGCCTCAGCCTCCTGAGTAGCTGGGATTACAGGTGGCCACTACCATGCTCAGCTAATTTTTGTATTTTTAGTAGAGACAGGGTTTTGCAATGTTGGCCAGGCTGGTCTTGAATTCCTGACCTCAAGTGATCTGCCTGTCTTGGCCTCCCAAAGTGCTGGGATTACAGGTGTGAGCCACTACGCCTGGCCAAAGTGAGAAATGCATTTGTGAAGCCCTGTTTTTTGGTGGTGGTAGAGGTGGGGGAAAAGAGCTGACCATGGAGACATAACTGACATTACTGGTTAATGCAGAAACCCAGTGGCGAGCCATCAAGTGACTCAGAGAGATCCGGGAGAACTGATGTAGAAACAAGCCACTGTGCTAAGAAGGGACGATACTGTCTACCCAATTGTTCAAACAGTGAACAGAGAGATACTACTTCCTCACTTCATCTACTTGATTGTAAAAAGAAAAGAAAAAAAAAGGAGAGATGCTATCTTTTCACAATTGACATTTTCATGAACTTTAAGATAGGAAATATGATAGATACAAATAGACAATGAAGTTTCAAATTGTGTTAAGGAAATAAAACTTACGAACAGCATCCATTTCAAGGATTGCTTGCTTGGCCTGAAAGAGAGAAAGTGGAGCTGTAATTCCAATTGCTTTTTTTTTTCATTCTTAAACTCCAAATCTCAACACAGATCTTATCCCATCTGAATAAACAGATTTTAAAATACGTTTAAAAACTTGTTATTTCTTTTAAGCATTAACACATAGTTCAGGGAATTCAGACAGATGAGCGCCCTCATGTGGCTAATAGCTGCTATACTATCGCGGCACCAGAGCTAAGACTGCACCCCTAACCCTGTGAAAGAGAAGGGAGGGAGACTGGTTCCTAAGCCTGGCTGATCATTAGCATCCACCGGCCAGCTTATTAAAAATGCAGATTCTCGCCACCCAACCCTGATCTACTGACCCAAAAGCTCAATACATGGAGGAGCGTGGTATCTTTATCACCAGCCCTCACCACGCCACTGGGGGCCTAGTATGGAGCCTGGTCTCCTTTTTTCTTTTGAGACGGAGTCTCGCTCTGTCACCCAGGCTGGAGTACAGTGGACTATCTCGGCTCACTGCAACCTCTGCCTTCCAGGTTCAAGCAATTCTCCTACCTCAGACTCCCGAGTAGCTGGGACTACAGGTGCCTGCCACCATGCCCAGCTAATTTTTCGTATTTTCAGTAGAGACGGGGTTTCACTGTGTTAGCCAGGATGGTCTTGATCTGACCTCGTGATCCGTTCGCCTTGGCCTCCCAAAGTGCTGGGATTACAGTTGAGAGGAGCCTGGTGTCTTTATCACCAGCCCTCATCACGACACTGGGGGCCTTGTAACTACCTTGAGTTAATTGCAAAATGGCTGCTGGCAGTTTCCTGTCACTGCTGTCTTTCCCCTGCAGAATGCGTGATTATCATGAGCGAAGTCTCTCTGTTTCCCCCAACTCCCTGCACCTCCCATCTCTTCTGTGTGCCCCAGATTCTCCCAGAGTGGGACAGCCCTGAAGGACAATGTGATCTGTGATCCCAGCTCAGGCACTTCACTAGGTAGGTGCTCTCCCATCCTGGAATGTGCTTCCTCAACTGGACAGTGGGATCATGAAACCTCTCTTTCAGAATGGTCAGTAGGACTCAATGATCAGCTCAAGTAGTGAGTTCTGCACACCCTCCTAGGGCAGGGGTCCCCAGCCCCCGAGCCACAGACTGGTACCAGTTCATGGCCTGTTAGGAACCAGGCTGCACAGTGGGAGGTGAGTGGTGGGCAAGCAAGGGAAGCTTCAACTGAATTTACAGCCGCTCCTCACGACTCGCATTACAGCCTGAGCTCCGCCTCCTGGCAGATTGGTGGCAGCATTAGATTCTCATAGGAGCATGAACCCTACTGTGAATTATGCATGTGAGGGATCTAGGTTGCAGCACTCCTTATGAGAATCTAATGCCTGATGAGCTGAGGTGGAGCTGAGGCAGTGAAGCCAGCACCGAGGAGCAGCTGCAAATACAGAATAGCATCAGCAGAGAGGTTTGACCGCAGAGACCATAAATCAGTTGTTTGCAGATTCATATCAAAACCGTCAGTGAGTGACAAGGGGCACTTAAGCTGCATCGTGGCAAGTGAGTTGATGTACTTCAATTGTACAGCTGCATCTGGTGCCCTTAAAAGTATGTTTGAGCTGGGTGCAGTGGCTCACACCTACAATCCCAGCACTTTGGGAGACCAAGGCAGGCGGATCACCTGAGGTCAGGAGTTTGAGACCAGCCTGACCAACATGTTGAAACCCTGTCTCTACTAAAAATAAAAAATTAGCCAGGTGTGGTGGTGTTTGCCTGTAGTCCCAGCTACTCAGGAGGCTGAGGCAGGAGAATTGCTTGAACCCAGGAGGCGGAGGTTGCAGTGAGCTGAGATCATGCCACTGTACTCCAGCCAGGGTGACAGAGTGAAACTGTCTCCAAAAAAAAAAAAAAAAAAAAAAAAAAGTATGTTTGCAACAACTTCAAATCTCCATCTATTCCAGATTAAAGTGAAGGCAGACATTCTGAGGTTGCCACAAAAGCCTGAAAATCCTGCTTCCATTTCCAATATCCTATCTTTGTGAAGCAGGGTTTTCTGCAGTGACAGCAACCAAAGCGAGATTACAGAGCAGACTGGACATAAGCAACACACCCTGGGGGCGTCACTGTCTCCCGTCACCCCCAGATGGGACCTCTAGTTGCAGAAAAACAAGCTCAGGGCTCCCTCTGATTCTACGTCATGGTGAGCTGTAGAACTATTTCATTCTATATTAGCATATACTAATAGAAATAAAGTGCACAATAAATATAATGTGCTTTCATCATCCCAAACCACGCCCCTGCCTTGGTCTGTGGAAAAACTGTCTTCCACCACACTAAGCCCTGGTGCCCAAAAGGCTGAAGATCGCTGTTCTAGGGGACTGTAGCCTTTCTTGCCTCGTTAATGTCATTTTCATTTTTTAAAGGCTAGTATAATTTTCCTACAAAACACTATGCTAAACACAACTTCTAAAGAATTTTAGGCCGGGCGTGGTGGCTCAAGCCTGTAATCCTAGCACTTTGGGAGGTCACCTGAGGTCAGGAGTTTGAGACCAGCCTGACCAACATGGAAAAACCCTGTCTCTACTAAAAATACAAAAAATTAGCCAGGTGTGGTGGTGCATGCCTGCAATCCCAGCTACTTGGGAAGCTGAGGCAGGAGAATAGCTTGAACCTGGGAGGCAGAGGTTGCAGCAAACTGAGATCACACCATTGCATTCCAGCCTGGGAGACAAGAATGAAACTCCATCTCAAGAAAAAAAAAAAAAAAGAAATTTACTCTATTTTGCTAAAATCTGTGATGTCGGCTAAGCGGCAATCACATTTAGATAAAAAGTGTGGGACGGCGGTGCGGGGGGAGCCTCAACACAGTCCCTTAATTTAGAGAAAACAAATGCTTCAATTTTTGTAACACTAATAACTATCTCTCTTGTACATTCAGAGTTTAATTTCAAACACAAATGTTTGAAATTAAACATGTGTGAAATTAAAATGTTTGAAATTAGCTTAGTCTCTGGGAAATGCAATTACAGAACCATGCTAATATATAAAACGCAAAATACCTTCCTCTTTATTCTTAATTAATTTGGACAAGAGTTAAGTTTACTTACCACATATACTAATGGGCAATATAGCTATTTCCAAGAAGTTCCCTGGTATCTGGAAAGGTGATTTCAAGAATTTTTTTTTTTTTCCCAAGTCTTGACGATTTTTAAAAGTGCTGTTTCCAAGATTTCCACTAGGTGTCAGCCAAGGACCCTCATTGAGTTAAAAGAATGGAAGGGGTCGGGGCATATTGGCTCATCCTTTGATGTAATCCCAGCACTTTGGTAGGCTGAGGTGGGTGGATCACCTGAGGTCAGGAGTTCAAGAGCAGCCAGGCCAACATGGTGAAACCCTGTCTCTACCAAAAATAAATAAATAAATGAATAAATAAAAATAAAAAAGTTAGCTAGGCGTGGTGGTGGGCACCTCTAAACTCAGCTACTCAGGAGGCTGAGGCAGGAGAATTGCTTGAACCGGCAGGTGGAGGTTGCAGTGGGCAGAGATCGTGACACTGCACTCCAGCCTGGCGACAAGAGCAAAACCCATAGAAAGAAAAGAAAAGAAAAGAAAGAAGGAAGGAAGGAAAGAGAAAGAAAGAAGGAAGGAAAAAGAAAGGAAGGAAGGAAGGAAGGGAGGAAGGGAGGGAGGGAGGGAGGAAGGGAAGAAGGGAGCAGGGAGGCTCTAACTAATGAGTTTCCCACAGCTGTGTTGACATTATTAGACTAGTGATACATTTGATGTTTACAAATTTCTCACTATGCATTTATTTCATAGAAATGATAGAAATACATTTTGAAAACTTTAGGAAAATAAACAATCTCGAGGAAAGATGTGGAAAGTTCACTTTAATAGCAATTCTGCTTAAACAGAAAATTATGATTACATTATAGTGAATAAAGTATATTAAACAAGTGTGTTTGAGGCTGGGTGTGTGGCTTGTGCCTGCAATCCCAGGACTTTGGGAGGCTGAGGCTAGTGGATCACTTGAGGCCAGGAGTTCAAGACCAGCCTGGTCAACATGGCAAAACCCCGTCTCCACTAAAAATACAAAAATTAGCCAGGTGTGGTGGTGTGCACTGGTAGTCCCAGCTACTCAGGTGGCTGAGGCAGGAGAATCACTTGAACCTGGGAGGCGGAGGCTGCAGTAAGCAGAAATTGTACCATTGCACTCCAGCCTGGGTGACAGAGTGAGACCCTGTCTCAAAAAAAAAAAAAAAAAAAAGGTTATTTATTTATTTTATTTATTTTTGAGATGGAGTTTCCCTCTTGTTACCCAGGCTGGAGTGCAATGGCGCGATCTCGGCTCACCGCAACCTCCGCCTCCTGGGTTCAGGCAATTCTCCTGCCTCAGCCTCCCGAGTAGCTGGGATTACAGGCACGCGCCACCATGCCCAGCTAATTTTCTGTATTTTTAGTAGAAATGGGGTTTCACCATGTTGACCAGGATGGTCTCGATCTCTTGACCTCGTGATCCACTTGCCTCTGCCTCCCAAAGTGCTGGGATTACAGGCATGAGCCACCGCGCCCGGCCTAAAAAGTGTTTTTTTATTGCCAGTGGGGACAATATGGTTAAGATGCTCTTTGAAGCCAGATAGACTTGGTCATGTGCTAGTTATATAAACTTGGGCAGTTTATTTAATGTCTCCGAGCCTATGTTTTTATTTCTCTAGAATGGGGAGAATAAGAACTACCTCATAACATATTTTGGTGAGGGTGTAGTAGGGATATAAAGAACTCAGCACAGTGTATATGCTCAGTAAGCTGTAGCTGAAAAGATGTTTTTAGATTGAAGGGACAGACAATTCACTATATTCACCATCTGAATACCCGAAAGGAATTTCCTGGGACACACACACCAGCATGGTAGAAAGAGGACAGGTGTGTAAGGTGGCCTTGTTTTGTAATGGTCTGTAGCTGCCTTTCAGAATCTTGTTAGCGATTTTAGTTTTCCCAGTAGACAGGTAAACAATCGGTGAGCATATC